CGGCTCGGAATTTTAAATGTAATACGGCTGCCCGTGGTGTTGTCATAGGTTTCTCAAAGAGACTTGAAATGGTGAATTCTCTATTTAAGAAATATGTCAGTCCGATTAGCAACGGTACCCTGTAAACCTTTATCTGATCAATTGTGGGCGATTTTTTTATTTTCTAAGTTTGTAATTCTAACAATTTTATTTATTGTCTTTGAGGTAGAAAAGCGCAAGTCACTCTTATATAGCTAGTAACCACAATTGAAAATACTCAATTTTCAATTAGTAATAGTGGATATCTTATTCATCTTGCAATCAGACAACGCTTTGGGTCTGTTAAATGTGCATGCCATTCTATAAATCACTGCAAACCAGGATGTGTACCGTGTACGCACATTTACATTTACTGATAGCGGTGCCATGACAAACTCCTGAAAGACAAACTCCTGACAAGACAAACTCTTGAAAATACAAACTCCTGAAAGACAAACTCCTGAAATTATGAAATTTTTCTCTGAATGAAGTATGATAAAATTCATAAACTTTAGGAGAAAAATCCGCAAATATCCTAGAAAAAATTCTCAATCTTTAGTATTACAATGATCAGAATAGCCAGCAAATTTATTATTATTTATTTTTTATTATTTAGGGTTAGGTTAGGTTAAGACACTTTCTGGGCCGAGCACTGCGGCTAGGACAGAGTAGGGGGCCGAGCGCTGCGGCCATGGGTTAGGTTAGTTAAGACACTTTCTGAGCCGAGCGCTGCGGCTAGGACAGGTTAGGGGCCGAGCGCTGCGGCCACATGGTCAATTATATCCATGTCTAACATATAAGATCCATGTAAAAAATTGATAGGAGGGTTGCGAGTTTCCTATGATGTGAATCCTACGAAACTAAGGTTTGAAGGGTATAATAGCGTGAATCCAACGAAACGAAGATTTAAAAAGTACAATAGCGTGAATCCTACGAAACTAAGGTTTGAAGGGTATAATAGCGTGAATCCTACGAAACGAAG